CACATTTCTTATTCTAAAAATATCCAAATATCAAATATAAATTTTGGCCTTTAATAAGTCAAAAATATCTTAATTGTTAAACTCAATTGAGTTTGAATTTTTGATGCTTTTGAAAATTTGTTTTCGAAACTGCAATATAAATTTCTAAAATTTATTTTCATGAATTATATTATGTGCTCGAATATGAATTTTTAAAAATATATTATAATACTTAAAAATAAATTTTTAAGAATTATATAGTATTTTTATTGTTATAACGTTTAGATTCGTAAACTTATCGTTAGATATTAATTTAAGAGTCGTCACCAAATTTTTTTTTAGGTGCGATTAGTCACCTAATCGAACTGTTTCTTTTAAAAAAAAAATCTTAAGCTTGACTCAAGTATCTTTAAAAAATCAATTTAATGTCTAAAAAATAGAACTAGGTTCAAAAGTACGATTATATGTAAAAAATATTATAATAACCTCACAAAGCCAATCCAGTGATGATACCAATGCGATTTCGTATTATCTATTAAGCCTTAAAAATCTTATCGAGTAATTAATTATTAAAAATTATTCTGAATTGACTCTAATACTTTAGATAAAAAATTAAAAAATTCTTTCTCCTCAAGAATATACAAAAAAACTATTATTTTTCTTGTAGGAGCTCCGACGTCGAATTATTTAACATTAAAAAAATTCAAAAAAAAAGAAAATTATATTTCAACTTCTTCTTGAGATTTCTTTTTTTATTTTATTTCTTTTTAAAAATGATTAATGACTTTATTCAATAAAAATTGATACTTTTAATTTTTTCTCAAAAAAATTTTTTTTGAAATTTTTATTTTTTAAAAAAATTGATACTCTCAACTTTTCTTCAAAAAAATATCTTTTGAAAATTTTATCTTCAAGAAAAATTGATATTTTTAACTTTTTCTAAAAGAAAATATGTTTTAAAAATTTTATTTTTAAGAAAATTTGATAATTTCAATTTTTTCATAAAATGTTTTTCTTTTGAAATTTTTATTTTAAAATAAAATTAATACTTTTAACTTTTTTTTGAAATATTTTTTTTTTGAAATTTTGATTTTAAAGAAAAATTGACACTTTCAACTTTTTCTTAAAAAATATCGTTTAAAAATTTTATCTTTAAGAAAAATTGATACTATCAATTTTTTCTTAAAGTGCTCTTTGAAATTTTCATTTTTAAGAAAATTAATATTCTCAATTTTTCTTTAAAGCACTTTTTTGAAATTTTTTATTTTTAGTGTCAAATATTTATCAACTACTAATTCTTAAGGGCAGGAAGGATTTTTTTTATATATAGAAAAACTTTATGAGAAATTGAAAGAAATTCGATGGAAAAAACCAAGTGACTAATTTCTCAAGTTCTTGAGCTAACTAAACATAGTTTTTGAATGATAATTATATTATTGAGATGGATGGCATGGATCAAGCTGACTTGTCTGTTCTATGGTATCTTCCAATTTGTGAGACGTCGGCTATTTCTGAATTTAACAAAAAAAAAAAAAGGCGTTTCAATCTTACAATTAATGAGACATAGACTTAACCAGGAAAAGAACTATGACTTAATTAGTCCAACTAACTGAACAAGTCTTGACTCTAGTTTCATTTCGAAGGACATGGACAATGCAGAAAAAGGACAATGACTTAATTAGGCCTGCTGTCCAAGGCTTTAGTCTTGGCTGCAGTTTCATTTCAAAGCACATAGATATTCCAGAAAAGAACAATGATTAGATATTCCAGAAAAGGACAATGATTTAGTGATAATTTGGATTTTATTATATTTTTTATGTGATTAAATTTATTATATTATCAATTAAATTTAAATATAAAATTTTTATTTTTTTAAATTATAAATATAATATATTTTTTCAATAATAATTATAATAATTATTATTATTATTTTTAATTTCATCATTCAATTTTATCGTTCAAGAATTGCCTAGTCTTTACTGTAGTTAGAAGACAAAGTTCTGTCTCGAGGTGGGCTGTTCAAACACAAGTTTTTATATTCACACGACACGAGATAAAATGACGAAAAAAATAAAAAAAAAAAAGAAAAGAAAAGAAAGAAAGGTTAGAGGACATCAAAGAACAAAAACATAAATAAATATGAAACTTGCCTTCTGATAACCAAACATAAGTTTGGATGGATATTTCTTTTAAAAAAGAATTTAAGGAAATAAAATAGTAAAGAAAGAAAATGACGAGGGTCACCATATAAACGCAAATTAAGTTATCGAGTTGCACCCTTTTAGAGTTGAGAATCATGATTAAATCCCATGTTTTTCTATTTGTTAGCAGTGAAATTGCCAATGAAACATGAGATATCATTGTCCCGATCGCATCAAGGATATACTGCTGTAGGACCAAGGGAGCAACTGCTTGGACTTGATTTTTCAAGGACAGAGTGCCTTCATTCCTCAACTCCACCAATCGCTGGTTCAAAACTGATTTCATCTGATAGCACAATATTAAACCAAACATGAAGCCTTGAACTAAAAATATGCTTTGATCTAATGACAGAAACAATTACACCATAATGATAAGTATGCCTAGGGAAGTTTTAATGCAGTTTTACTTCTCTTATTTTGTTCATACAGAAGATAAAACGGAATTGGCAAACCAAAAGTCATTTTGCATCAATCACAAATTGCATAGAGTTGTCTATTAATGAAACCTTTTCTTCCACTTAGATATAAGCAAAAAAAAAAAAAAAACTATTACAGCAATATTAGCCAATCAGAAATTTCTGTAAGACTAATCAGTTTATACCTCGTTCAAATCATCCAGAATCTTATTTCTGTACTCCGTCACAAAAAGTTGCCTCCTGTTTTATGTATTGGGGTTTTATCAGATTCAGCAGCTTCATTTAGTGAAGAATTCTGCAATATCTCACTGGCATTAACTATCTCATATGGGCCCAAACCATTACCACCATCATCTGTTTCTTCCACAGTAGCAATATCCCCATCAATTTGAGCAGTGTCAACGGAGATATCCTAATCAATAGTATCGATGTTGACATCTGTCTCCCCTCACAAGGTTTATTTAATTAGAGCTAAATTGAGTATTTTCTAAGTCAAGGGTCTCAGAAGCTGCAGAAACATTCAAAAATGGAGGATTTTCACGAATGTCTTCCAAGTTCAGCAAGAAACATTCAAAGATGGAGAATTTTCCCAGTTCTTATCAGCATTCTACATGAGAAACTGGTTCAATCCTGATCTGATGAAATTTAAGAAAAATGATTTGATTCCTTGGATAGCTTGTAACTATGGCAGAAGGTTTATCCTTTTTTTGAGGAGAAATTTGATTGAAATCTCTTGTACATAGAAATTCGCAGAGTCACCCATGGTTATGAGCACGCATACTACTTCAGCAGCTACAACAATATGCCAGCATGTCAAATTTAAAAAAAAAAAGCTACCGCAATTAATTGGCTAAACAAATAAAGAACAAGTATCCTCCAACAAACCAGCACATTCTCCATTAAAAAATTTCACATACATGGCAGGCGAAGGGTTAACTCCAGAATTAATTGATTTCAATAATTATTATGTAAAAAGAAAAAAAAGAAATAACAATACGGTAAAGCATAAAACAAAAACAAAAACAAAAGAGGACAAGCAATGGAACCGCACGACTTCCAAAACATCTGCTGACGTTTAATGCCAGCCGCCGATCCGAGGGTTCTAAAGTAACATTAATTGAACAAGCATACCTGCGACCTTAGTTCTAATATCTCCCAACACAAACTCCCCTTGGAAACTGTGCACCAACAAACATATAGGGAAAACATAAATGTAGGATAAGTAGGTCCTATACATAAAAAGTAGAAATTTTAAAATATATAAATATTTATTAAATATTAAAAATAAAAGATATACAAGATTAAAAATTTTGGTACAAATGAGTCCATACATGAAAAATAAAATCTTATAAAATATATTTTATAATTTAAAAAAATAAAAAAAGTTTTATTAAAATTTTTAAATAAAAATTTAAAAAGGATAAAAAAAGCAAAAAAAAAAAGATATAAATGGATCTCATACATAAAAAGCAAAATATTTAAAAATATAGGTTCTTTGAATATTTGAAAAAAATTATTGAATATTTGAAAATACAAGAAAAAAATTGAAAAGGATAAAAAAAAGCAAAAACGAAAGTTTAGTATAAATAAGTTTCATGTATAAAAATCAAATATTTAAAATATATTTTTTATAATTTTAAAAATATTTATTAAAATTTTTAAAAAAATTAAAAAGAATAAAAGATAAAAAAATTTAATATAAGTTGATCTCACGCATAAAAATAAAATCTTTAAAAAATATATATTTTTATAATTTTACAAAATATTTATTAAAATAAAAAAAAAAAACTAATACACAGCAAAATAAAAGAAAATTAACATAAATAAAAAAAAGACACGTGACAGCTTAAGGAGCTGGTCCTGTTTCGATACATTTGTTAGATTAAATGTTTAGATTTACGCTTTTGTTCTTTCATGTGCTCTGACCTTTCTCTCTCTCTTTTTTTTTTTGGTGAATTTTCTGTCATTTTGTCTTGTGTGTATATACTTACTTGGGTTTGAACTGCCCACCTAGAGACAGTTCTAGCTACAATGAAGAACAGCAAACACGCTTGTTGGACTATTCATGTCATTGTCCTTGTACTTCGACATGAAACTATGTGCTTTCGAGATGAAACTACGGCCAAGACTTGGACAATTGGAGTATTCAAGTCATTGTCCTTTCTGCGTTGTCTATTTGCTTAAAGATGAAACTAAAGCCAAGACATGGATAGTTGGACTAATTCAAGACATTGTGCTTTATAATTATCCAATGACCCCCTACATCATTTTTATGTAGGGTATAGATTATACACTTGAATAAAAAAAACAAAATAGCACATCTATATAACGGTGAGAAGGTTTTGAGCTATAGAACCAAACAAAGCCCATATTTCATTTCTGTTCCTCTTACTAAAACACGGGAATGGCAGTGGCGGACGCCGTTATCTACTTTGCTGTGGATAGAATTGGCGATGTGATCATACAGGTAGCAAGATTCTTGTACGGGGTAAGGGTCAGACTCGATGAACTACGAACGGAATTAATACGTATGCGGTGTTTTTTAAGAGATGCAGAGTCAAGATAGGGAGATGAAATGAGCATACGCAATTGGATTGCAGAAATGAGAGACATTGCTTATAATGCAGAAGATGTACTCGAGATTTATGCCCTCAATGCAGCAGAATCCAGGAGAAGTTCTTCATCTAGATATGCCTTCTTAAAATGTTCCTTTCTTTTCGGTAAGTGGAATAATATAAAATTGCTCTGCAAGGTTGGATCAGAAATTGAGGGTCTTACAGCCGGGCTTACTACATTAACCACAAGGCTACTTATGGCTTAAAATGTTTCTTATGGCTTAAAGGAAATCAAGGAAAGAGAGAGACCACCAAGCTCTTCAGAAAATAGGTTCCTTAATCGGCGGACTTATTCTCACAAGATTGAACAAAATGTTGTTGGGTTGGAGGAAGATACAAATTTATTGTTGACACAACTTGTGCGTACTGACTGTCGAGTTGTGGCGATATGTGGGATAGGTGGCTTGGGAAAGACAACTCTGGCCAAGAAGGTTTACCGTCAATGTAAAGCTGGGCACCATTTTAAGTTCTTCATTTGGGTATTCGTGTCTCAACAATAGCAAAAAAGAAACATTTGGGAAACATTTCTGTACGAGCTTATTTCCCCTCCTAAAGAAAGGCTAAGAGATGAGCAGATGGAGAAAGAGTTTAAAGAAAGATGGAAAAAGATTCAGAAAATGAACGATGATGCTGTGGCCAATATGCTCCACGAAGAACTACAATAGTCTAAATGTCAAGTGGTACTTGATGACGTATGGGACAATGTCTGAGACGCATTAAAACCCGGCTTCCCAACTGACGAGACTAGTACCAAATTTATGATCACCACCCGCAATAAGAACTTGGTTCAACGTGTGGATTCAAACGTATTCATCCATGAACCAAGCTGCCTGAATGATGAGGATAGTTGGGAACTATTTAAAAAGACTGCACTACCGGCAAAAAAAATCAATCCAGAAGGTACATCATCTTATCCCACCAATCTATAATTCCGCTTCAAACGCCAATTATCTCGTCTTATAGTAAAAATCTATGAACAATATGCAAATTATTTATTTTCCTGAGTTTGAGCAATTAGCTCCAGCTTGCTATTGATTAATATATAGAGCTAGTTATGAGTATATAAATAATATCTATACAAATAATTAAAACTATCCCATATAGCCGCGTTAGTTTTTTTTCTTAAAAAATTATTTGTGGGGCATTTTTGAAGCTAATACTAATATTTGAAGATAACATGGTCTTTGTCATATGTTAAAAGTTGTCGTACTCATATTTTTTTGCTTTGATTTTTTCTTTTTATTTTTAATTTTATTTCTTTAATTTTGTTTTTTTTACATATTTCACTTTTCCAACAAGACAATAACTTAGAATAACTAAAAGTATGCAATTAAATTGGCAAGAAAAGCATGGAAGACATAATTTATAAAAAGGGGGATATATTAAAACTCAATCCTCAATTTACTCTGTATTGATTGGAAAGCAAAAATCACCTCATGCATGTGCCACAACTCCACGTTTTCAACCCAAAATAATTGTTTATTGACTGGGAAAAAAAGAAACTTTTGACTTATACCCTATGTGTGGACGGAGGTAAGGGAAGAGAAAGAAAAGGAATGGAAACGATATAGAAGAAAATGAGAAATTTTTTTTTATTTGTATATAATATAAATTTTTAAAAAAAGTATGCCTATCTCTCTTTGTTTTTCTCAATTTTTAAAATTTTTAATTACATCAAATTGGGAGAAAAAAAGAAAAAAATATAAAATATAAAATAATTACTATATTTTTATTAATTTTTTAAATTAAAAATGTATAATTTTGAACTTTAAAATTAAATTGAAAATATAAAACATCATTTACTAATAAATTTATTATCTCAAAATTTTTTTTATTTTTATGAATTTTATAAATTTTATTGATGAATATTTTATGAAAAAAATAAAAAAATTGAAAACATGAAAGACATTAATATAAATATTATAATAAAAACAAAGATTATCAAAAATTATAATAAAAAAATAATATGATAAATGATTTTTTATTATTTAATTAAATAATAATTGTTAAAATTTTTTAATTAATTTTAACTATCCAAATAAGTTTATATATATTTTTAAAAATATTTTTCTTTTCTTTTATTTTTTTATTAATATTTATCTAAATATAGCGATAAAAACAAAACCATTCGGGTTCGTGATGTATGGATATATATTGCTTCTTTGTTGATGTTATCCTTTGCAAATTGAAACAACCACATATTTGTTTTCTTCTTCAGCTTACAGAGTAGACGCGAGCTTGGAAAAGCTAGGGAGGGAAATGGTAAAACATTGTAGGGATCTGCCACTAGCCATCGTTGTCCTTGGAGATCTTTTATCAAGTAAAAGAACGTACGATGAATGGGATACGATACATCAATGTATCAAGTCATACTTAAAGAGAGAAGATTTCGAAATTTTTCAGCTTCTGGCTTTAAGCTATGATGATTTACCGTATAAGCTGAAGCCGTATTTCCTTTATTTAGCCATGCTTCCGGAAGATTTTAATATATCCCGAGATTGGTTGATTAATTTATGGGTGGCTGAGGGTATTATCTTACCGCCAAGAATAGAGAGAGAAAGTGAGGAATCATTGGAGTATGTTGCATATCGCTGCTTGACAGAGTTGACGGAGAGGTACATGGTTAATGTGGAAAAAAGAGACCCATCTGGGAGAATCAAAAGGTGCCGAATGCACGATCTTATGAGGGAGTTTTGTTTGTCCAAGGCTGAAGAGGAAAAATTGTTTCAAGTTCTACCATTCTACGGGGCTAGAGAGAGGAGTTTGAATATTTCTTCTTCTTCAGCAGAAGTGAAAGGCAGAGTTCGCCGACTTTCTTTGCATTTAAATAATTTTCCTGGAGACATTGCCCTGGAATGCGACGAATATCCCGTATTCAGGTCTGTTATAGGTTTCTCCTTACACCGACACAGTGGTATAAATGAGCCTCTTATTGAAACCTTCGTTCGCAGCTTCAAATTGCTTAGAATCCAGTAGATCTCGAAAGAGTTAAGGGTTTTGCAATACCCGAAACAATAGGAAAGTTAATTCACTTGAGACTCGTGAATTTGAGGTCTGCTTGGGTCTCCGTCTATAGGCGACTTGAGTTGCTTGTTGACCTTAAGATTAGATCGTTTTGATTCAGCATCAACCATACCGGATGTTTTATGGAAGTTGAAAAGATTGAGGCATCTATATCTTCCTCGCTGGTATGGAAGAGGCACAAAAAGGTTGCAATTTGCGGACCTGAGCGACCTAAGGACACTGGTAAATTTTCCAGCATCTGATCCTGACGTAGAAGATCTGATCAGACTGACCAATCTTAGGAAATTGAAGATATTATTATCTTCTAATGAAATAACACTAAGGAGGTTTAAGGGAATCTTCGAATCCCCAACCATCATACTCAACTACCTTCGTGATTTGTCCATCCTTTCGTCACTTTCATTGGACGGTCAAGATGTAGAGAACATTAAATCACGTTGTCCTCGTCTTCAGCGGCTGAAACTAAATGGGACAGTAGTTTACCAGACGCCTGATGTCTTCGGAATTAAGGAAGAAGAGGATGCCACCTGCCTTGAGAGCGGACTTATCCCACAATATTAATATTTGTCAGAAAGTTTTCCATGCACGTGGGAGCGGCAGTTTCCAAGGGGAGTTTGTGCTAGGAGATGTTAGAACTAAGGTCGCAGGTTGATGCTTGTTGTATTAATGTTACTTCGGAATCATCGGGTCGGTGGCTGGCATTATTAGATGTCAGCAGATGTTTTGAGAATCATGCAGTTCGATTGTTTGTCCGGTTCTATTTGTTTAATAATGCTTTACCGTTGTTGTTGTTTTAGGTTTTAGGGAATCTAGTGGGCCGTTATTGTTGGTTTATGTTTTGCCGTAATTTATTTCAGTTTTAATTTTCATAATTTTTATTGAAATAAATTGATACTGTAGTTAACACTTTGCCTGCTATGTACGTGACATTTTTTAAGGGAGGTTGTGCTTTTCTTTTAGGTTATTTGTTGGTTTCTTTTTCTTTGTTTATTTAGCCAATTAATTGTGGTAGCTTTTACTTTTTATATGTGACATGCTGGCATATAGTTGTAACTGCCGAACTAGCATGCATGCTCAAAACCATGGGTGACGGTGAATTTCTATGTTCGTACAAGAGATTTCGTCAAACTGTAACTGTAATGCTGAGAGTCTAGAACTAGAAAACTGTAATGCTGTGCGAAAGAACAGTATGAGCTGATTTTGAAGTATTTCTTACATCAGGAATAAGAATCTACGACAAGTTCAACTACACTGTGTAAGATTAGAGGCACAAATATCTACCTGCTAGGGATATGTCTGTTGACATCGCTCAAGTTGATTGTAATATTGTACTGTGGAAGAAACAGATGATGGAAGTAATAGTTTGGGCCCATATGAGATAGTTAATGCCAGCGAGATCTTGCAGAATTCTTCACCAAATGAAGCTGCTGAATCTGATAAAACCACATTACATAAAACAGAAGACAACCCACCTCCTGAATTTCTGTATCAGATATATCCTGGGACAATAGTGTTGAAACACCACTTGTTGATGTGATTGGTGATGCTATCTTACAAAATATACAATTGGAAAATCAGACATATGCTCCAGATTCCTTACCTCTTACCCGAGGAACCAGGGAAGAGAGGAGCCAACTTTTGGAAACAGAGTACAGAAATAAAGATTCAGGATTATTTGTACGAGGTAGTGAAGATCGTGGCTAGTGGCGTTTTTAAATGAAATGCCGCTACAAAACTGCTACTAATCTTCTTTTTTCTTGAGACGTGTGTTTGATTATCGGAAGCGAATGAACGGAGGAAAGAAGATGAACTAGGTGAAATCCCTCTTACAGAAAATTAAAGCTTGTATATCTCAGTATGCTGAGCATAAAGTTAAATTTTTTATTGTATAAAGATAAATGATTCAAAACTATAAACTTTGCTTTGGAGATAAAACCTGGTTAACACAATTTTAAAGCTTCTTGTGCCATTCTAATCGCTAGGGGAAAAAAGTAAAGACATTATAGTCGATAAAAACTTCCTTAATGCTTAGACAAAGTCAATCCCAAAACCTTTGTACAAGACTATTCCTTTATAAGTATTTCTTCATCAATAAAGTTTCATTCGATTACAAAATAAAAACATATAAATACAAATTTATTAATTAGAGCGAGTGGAGTTGGATTTGAGTAAGATTGAAAAATTTTAGCACAGCCAATCCAAGAAGCCTAATACATTTGCTTAAGCCCACGCCCAGATTTTGCTTGGGCTCTTTGACTTCTGAGTTTATGCAGAATCAGTCCATTATACCATCGATGATTTGAGCTAAAGAGGGCCGAGTCATTGCTGATCAAATTAATTTTTAATTCAAGAGTTTGATTACCAAGTTTTATCCTTAACAACGAAGTTCATTTGAAGATAGATATAGTCATATCGGTATAGTATTTTATATAAAAATTATGTGTTATAATTTATGTTAATATATATAAAATACAAAATATATTTTTTATTTTGTTAAAATTCATATGCAAAAATAAAAATAAAAAATCGGATGAAATTTATTGAGTAAATTTGAGAATAATGAATTTTAATGATTTCGATGTAACAAGTTAAACTTCAACGACCTAATAGAGAGGATAGGTATAGTTATGCCACATTTAAAAGGTAGAAGATACCACAATTGACTAAACAAACAAAGAAAAAGAAAACAACAAATAATTAACCTAAAAAAACAGCTCAACCTCCCTTAAAACAGGTCAGAAACTTAGCAGGCGAAGTGTTGACTCCAGAATTAATTGATTTGAATAATCATTATGAAAATAAGAACAGAAATAACATTACGGTAAAGCATAAAACAACAGTAACAGCATACTAGAGTTTTAACTTTTAAGCATTATTACAGAAACAGAATAGGACAAACAATCGAACTGCACGATTTTGAAACATCTGCTGACGTCTAATGCCAGCCGCTGATCCGATGGTTCCAAAGTAACAATGCAGCAAGCATCAACCTGAGATCTTAGTTCTAACACCTGACAACACAAACACACACACAGAAACACACGCACACATATAAACACAAACAAACTTTATTGCAAACTCCTCTTGGAAACTACTGCCCCCAGAAACATGCATGGAAAACTTAATGGAGGTCCGTACGTAAGTCTGCTCCTCTCTATCAAGCTTCTTATGGCCGGTGGCATCCTATTCTTCCTCAATTCTGAAGACATCAGGCGTCTTCTGGTAAACTACTTTCCCATTTAATTTCAGCCTCTGAAGACGAGGACAACGTGATTTAATATTGTCTATATCTTGACTGTCTGAAAGTAATGAAATTGCCAACTCTATCGAAAAATCACGAAGGTAGTTGAATGTGATGGTTGGGGATTCGAAGATTCTTTTAAACCTCCTTTGTGAGATCTCATCAAATATCACTATCTTCAATTTCCTAAGATTGGTCAATCTGATCAGATCTTCTACTTCAGCATTACATGTTTGAAAATTTACCAGTGTCCTTAGGTCGCTCAGATCCGCAAATTGCAACCTTTCTGTGCCGCTTCCATACCAGGGAGGAAGATATAGATGCCTCAATCTTTTCAACTTCCACAAAACATCTGGTATGGTTGTTGCTGACTCAAAAGGATCTAATCTTAAGGTCAACAAGCAACTCAAGTTGCCTATAGACGGAGGAAGATTTCCGATCCAAGCAGACCTCAAATTCAGGAGTCTCAAGTGAATTAACTTTCCTATTGTTTCAGGTATTCCAAAACCCTTAACTCCTTCGAGATCTAGGATTCTAAGCAATTTGAATTTGCGAACGAAGGTTTCAATAAGTGTCTGGCTTATTCCACTGTATCGATCTAAGGAGAAACCTATAACAGACCTGAATGGGGATTCTTCACATTGCAGGGCAATGTCTCCCGGAAAATTATTTAAATGCAAAGAAAGTCGTCGAACTCTGCCTTTCTCTTTGGTTGAAGAAGAAGAAATATTCAAACTCTTCTCTCTAGCCCCGTAGCATGGTAGAACTTGAAAGAAATTTTCCTCTTCAGCCTTGGACAAACAAAACTCCCTCATAAGATCGTGCATTTGGCATCTTTTGATTCTTCCGGACGGATCTCTTCTTTCCACATTAACCATGTACCTCTCCGTCAACTCTGTCAAGTAACGATATGCAACATCTTCCAATGATTCCTCACTTTCCCTCTCTTTTCTTGGCTGTAATATAATACCCTCAGCCACCCATAGATTAATCAACCTATCTCTGGATATCTGAAAATCTTCCGGAAGCACACCTAAATAAAGGAAACACGGCTTCAGCTCAAACAGTAAATCATCATAGCTTAAAGCCAGAAGCTGAAAAATTCCGAAATCTTCTCTCTTTAAGTATGACTTGATACATTGATGTATCGTATCCCATTCATCGTACGTTCTTTTACTTGATAAAAGACCTCCGAGGACAACGATGGCCAGTGGCAGACCCCTACAATGTTTTACCATTTCCCTCCCTAGCTTTTCCAAGCTCGCCTTAACTCTGTAGGCTGAAGGAAGATAAGAAAAATGTGGTTGTTTCAATTTGCAAAGGATAACAAAAATAAAAGAAGCAATCGTTATTAGTAAGGAGTTGCCAGTAATATACATCCATGCATCACGAACCTAACGGTTTTGTGCTTGTAAGTCAAAAGTTTTTTCCAGTCAATAGACAACTTTTTTAAGTTGAAAATGTGGAGTTGTGGCACATGCACAAGATGATTTCTGCTTTCCAATCAATAAATAGTAAATTGAGATCCTGAATAGTAGTTTTGGATTGAGTTTTATATATTTTCCCTTTTAATATTAAATTATGTCTATTTTTCCAATTTAATTGCATACTTTTAGTTAGTCTAAATTATTGTGTTGTTTGAAAAGTGAAAAAAAATCACTCAAACTCTTTTTTATTAAGTTAATATTTGTTGTATTATCATTATAAATTTTAATTACACAAATAAAATTAATTGAGTGACAAATGTTTTATTTTTTTAATTTTTAAAAATATATTCTAAGAGATATTTTTTTTCTTCTCTGTTACTCTCATTTATAATTATACTCCTTCTGTTCTAAATTATTTGTATGGTATTAATTTTTACAAAATTTAAGAAAAAATATTAACTTTAATATATTAAATACTAAAATTAAAGTTTTTATAAAATTAAAGTTTTATATTTTTTTATTATAAAAAATTAAAAAAATAATTTTAAAATATAGAAAGTAAGAGTTTTGTATATTAAAAAAATATAATTTTAGGATATCCAAAAAAATGAAAAAAAATAAAGGATAGAGAGAATAACTTTTTATTGTTCAAGGTAAAAGTAACTCGAAAAAGAAAATTTATAATCAATAGAAATCAAATTTCAACTTAAATTTTTTAAACTCTTTGTAAAGTTAAAATAAAATCTAATATATATATATATATATATAAATATATTATAGGATACAAAGTTATCGAATAAAATATGTTGATATGAATGCCGATGTGATAGCTTTTCTTTATGACATATAAGATAATATTTATATTATATTATTTATCAAGTAACTTTATTTAATAAATTATTTAAATTTAATATGTTTGGATAATTATGTAAATTTAATATGTTTTGATAATTATTTAAATTCAAATCAAAATCTATAAAATATTGAAAATTTTACATAAATTTTAAATTCAAATATATTAAATTATAAATGATCTTTTTTTTAGTTTAATTATAATTCCAAATATATATAGGCTTAATAAACTTTTCTTTGCTTTCAAATAATTTTATTTAATAAATTATATAAAATAAATATTTTTAAGTAAGTATTTAAATTCAAATAAAACTTTATCAAAAATTGAAAATTTTACATAAATTTTAAATTTAAACATATTAAATCATAATTTATCTTTTCTTTTCAAATTTAATTATAGCTTTACCTATATGTATATATATATATATATATATATATATGTGTGTGTGTGTGTGTGTTTGAGTAAGCTGAATAAATTTTTATTTGTTGAAATCAAAATCTCAAAATAAAAATAAAAAGCTCATAAAATGAGAGCGTCACCCCCTAACCAATATTATTTTATTTGTTATTATTAGAATTACAAATTGAAGAATACAACTATTTTTTATTTGACGATTATGATTTATGAGTTTTGAAAGGAATTAGTAAAAATTAGAAATAATAATAATCACATCATACTCATGAACAAGTAAATTTATTTTATGCCTTTATTTTTCTTTTATTTCTTTTATTATTATTTTTTTAGTCTTAAAAATAAGTTTGTGATGGTGTTGGATTGTTTTTTCTTTGTTTTTATAATATTGATTTTTTTTTAGATTTCAATAATGAAAGAAAATTGAGCACACATTTAAATTGGTTTCAACTAGGTAAGAGGTATAGTTCATTATTTTTTTCCTATTCTATTTCTTTTTTTTCCCTCTATTTGTTTGTTTTTTCCAACCTATTTTATTTACATTGTATGATATATACATTTAGATTTGATTTATTCTAAAAAAAAGTTGGTTCATATGTGTGTGTGTATATATATATATATATATATATATATATAATTAAACAAAGTATTTACTATGCATAAATATAAAATATTTAAATTATATATACATTCTCAATTTGTGTATTTTGTAAAATCAAAATCTATAAAATATTAAAAATTTTACATAATTTTAAATTTAAATATATTAAATTATAAATTACTTTTCTTTTTTAATTTAATCATAATTCCAAATGTATATAAGTTTAATAAACTTTTATCTGCTATCAAATAATTTTATTTAATAAATTATATAAATTTAATATCTTTGGGTAACTATTTAAATTCAAATCAAAATTTTATCAAAAATTATAAATTTTACATAAATTTTGGATTTAAATATATTAAATCATAATTTATCTTTTTCTTTTTAAATTTAATCATAACTCTACATATATATATGTGTGTGTGTGTGTGTGTGTGTGTGTGTGTGTGTGTGTGTGTGTGTGTGTGTGTGCAAGCTTAATAAATTTTTATTTGTTGAAATTAAAATCTCAAAATAAAAATAAGTAACTCATAAAATGAGTACATCACTTTTTAACCAATATTATTTTATTTGTTATTATTAGAATTAGAAATTAAATAATACAATCTTTTGTTTTATTTGATGATTATGATTTACAAGTTTTGATAGAAATGGACAAAAGCTATAAAGAATAATAACCACATCATAGTCATAAATAAGTAAATTCATTTTATGCCTTTATTATTTTATTATTTTTATTTTTTCGTTTTAAGAATAAGTTTGTCGTGGTGTTGGATTTTCTTTTGTTTTTAGATTTCAATAATGAAAAGAAAATGAGAACATATTTGGTTGGGTTTTAACTAGGTAATAGGTATAGTTTATTACCTTTTTTATATTATATTTCATTTTTTTATTATTTTCTTCTATTTGTTTGTTTCTTCAAACTTATTATTTGGTTTTATTTGCATTATATGCTATATGCATTTAGATTTGATTTATTTTAAAATAAATTGGTTCATATGCTTACATATATAGTTAAACTAGATATTTACTATGCATAAGTATAAGAGATGTAAATTATTTATAATTCTCAATTTGTATATTTGGTTTATATTCTAATAAAAAAATAACCATGTATGTTAAAGTATATACGTAAAAAAATAAAAACTAATAAAAAGCAAATGGTTGTGAGCAAATTAATAATTATGTTTTGTAGTTCAATCATATACTATTATTATTATTATTATTATTATTATTATTATTATTATTTGATGTTTTATTTTTGGTTTAGCTTTATAAGATTTAATAATTTAAGAATATTTTTCTAACATAAATGTCTTTTACAATTTAATCAAATGATATATTTTTTATATATTTATATCAACATATAAACAATAATTAATCTTGAATATTTTCTTTTTAATAAGCTAAAGAAAATTTTATTAAAAGTAGTGAAATGGTTATAAATATCAAACTACAATTAAGAGAACAATAAAAACACAGAAAAAATATAAACCCTAAAAAAATTGTACCATAGTGAAAAATTTAGAAATCCAAAAAAATAATAAAATAAAAATTTTAAATTAGTCCAAATGATGAAAAATTTAGAAATCCAACAAATAAATAAATAAAAAGAATTTTTAAATAGGCCCAAATGGTAGAGAATTTAGAAATCCAAAAAGAGAAAATATTTTTAGTTTGGCCCAAAATAATTAGATATATTTTCAACAAAAACTAAACAAAATTTTTTTTTTTGATGATGGAGCCTCTTCAAGAAAATAAATAGGATTCTTGAATACTCTTAAGGTGAGAAAATATTTTTAAAAGTTCTACCAAATTGATGGAAGAATCTTATGAATTATTTTCAATATTTAATAAAAAAATTTAAAATCATTAGAATCAAAACCGTAAGATAAATTTAAAATAATATAGTATTATTTTTTTGATGGGCATATGAGGGTGCTATAACCTTTTTCACATGTAATCAAACTCCCAAATCTTATTTTGGCTTGTAAAATCAAACATATTCTTTTAGGGACCTTTAGTCAAGCTTAAGAGTTCCTTAAAAAGATAGATTCTTTATGTAATCAATTACACCTAGTAAAAAAGATTGATAATGACTCTTTTTATTAAATCTAATTATAAATTTTTGGATCTATATATTATGAAAATTATCTTAAAAGAGTTCTAGCTAAATGGTATTTTATTTTTAATTAAATTTTATTAGCTAAAATATTTAAAAAATTTTATCTCCAATATTATGACATAATTTTTAGAAAATTCTCTAATCTCAAGAATATTCAAAACTTCATTTGTTAAAAGGCTCCATTGTTAAATTAATTTAAAATTTTAAGGAATAAATATATTTTTTATTTTTATAATGATTTTACCAACATTTATTTTTTACTAAATAATTTATTAAAAAATAAAAATATTTATTAAAATATTTCCAAAATCTTTCCATCTCTTTTGGCAACAATTTTGGTTTAATTTCATCATTAGAATAATTTTCATTTATTTTCAAATTTTATAAAAATAATTATAAAAAACTATAAATTTATTTGTCTAACCCATATTTTTTGTTTTTTTGTATATTTTCAATAACTAAATTATATTCTTAACATACATTTAAATGTTTATGTAAATAAAAAATAAACAAAGAAATAACAAAATCAATAAATAACAAAATATAAATTTTAAAAAAAAAATCAAAGCAAACAAAATGAGTCATTAACTTTTAATGTGACAGACAATTCTATTCTCAAATATAAATATTAATTTAAAAAATGTCCCTCAAATAATTTTTTAAGACAACATTGACGTGGCTGTATCTGATATTTTAATTATTTGTAAAGATATTATTTATATACTAATAACAAGCTCTATATATTAATCTATAGCAAGCTGAACCTAATTGCTCAAACTCAGGAAAATAAATAATTTGCATGTTATTTATAGATTTTTACCATAAGACAAGATATTTAGCATTAGAAGCGAAATCATAGATTGGTGGGATAAGATGATGTACCTGCTGGATTGATGTTTAGTTTCGGTATTGCAGTCTTTTCAAATAGTTCCCAACTATCTTCATCATTCAGACATCTTGGTTCATGGATGAACACGTTTGGATCCACACGATGCACCAAGTTCCTATTGCGGGTGGTGATCATAAATTTGGTACTAGTCTCCTCCGTTGGGAAGCCAGGTTTTAATGCGTCCCAGACAATATTGTCCCATATGTCATCAAGTACCACTAGACATTTCGACTTTTGTAGTTCTTCGTGGAGCATTTTGGCCACAGCATCATTGTTCATTTTCTGAATCTCTTTCCATTTTTCTTTGAACTCTTTCTCCATCTGCCCATCTCCTAACCGCTCTTTAGAAGGGGAAAGAAGCTCGTATAGAAATGTCTCCCAAATGTTCCTTTGTTGCCATTGCTGAGACACGAATACCCAAATGAAGAACTCAAAATGGCGCCCAACTTTACATTGATGGTAAACCTTCTTAGCCAGAGTTGTCTTTCCCAAGCCGCCCATCCCACATATCGCCACAACTCGACAGTCAGTACGTACAAGTTGTGTCAACAAGAAATTTGTATCTTCCTCCAACCCAACAACATTTTGTTCAATCTTGTGAGAATAAGTCCGCCGATTAATGAACCAATTTTCTGGAGAGCTTGGTGGCCTCTCTCTTTCCTTGATTTCCTTTAAGCCATAAGTTGGTAGCCTTGCGGTTAATATATTAAGCCTGGCTGTGAGACCCTCAATTTCTGATCCAACCTTGCAGAGCAATTTTATATTATTCCACTTGCCCAAAAGAAAGGAACATTTTAAGAAGGCATATCTAGATGAAGAACTTCTCCTGGATTCTACCGCTTTGAGGGCATAAATCTCGAGTACATCTTCTGCATCATAAGCAATGTCTCTGATTTCTGCAACCCAATTGCGTATCATTTCATCTCCCTGTCTTGACTCCGCATCTCTTAAAAAACACCTCATACGTATTAATTCAGTTCGCAGTTCATCGAGTCTGCCCCTTACCTCGTGCAAGAATCTTGCTCCTTGTATGATCACATCGCCAACTCTATCCACAGCAAAGGAGATAACGGCGTTCGCCACTGCCATTCCCCTGTTTTAATAAGAGGAACAGAAATTAAATATGGGCTTTGGTTGGTTCTATAGCACAAAACCTTCGCCAATATATATAGACATGCTATATGTTTCGTATTTTCTTTCTTCTACCGTATAATATAATATTTTATTGACTATACTAAGGACGCTCTCACTTCTTTGACCATAATTGTCGGCGTAATTCGCGATGATATTGGAATAATTATTATTTATACTGTTCATACTTGTATTGATGGTGGAGTAAAATCATAACTTTATACAATGAATTTATACATATATATATATATATATACCTTCTGTTGTAATATTTTATTCTTGCAAGATAACAAAAACTTAGTCCTTCAATTTTCTTGTTATGGTATCATCTCTACGTGCTTCTCTTTTTTTTCCTACTGTTTTTTTTTCACCAATTCCCTGTCGTTTGTTTCTTTTTATTCTGGCATTGTAACATTACATTAAAAAAAATTAAGCCTTCTTTTTAGTCCTTGCTGTTTTTGAATGGCTCCCACCTAAAACCAAACTTTTTTTTAATTCTTTTAAGCATCATCTCTCAATCACTTTTTCTTTAATCATCACACGCCATCATTTTGCTCTCATCGTAATTCTCGTTCCCCACCATTTTTCTTTAATCACACAGTCTATTATTTCATCAGATTAATGATATATTTGGCCCCTGACTATAATAAAATCTTTAACGTAGTGTTTATATTATGATTTTGTTAATTTATATATTACTTGCTTTTAATATCATTAATGATAATACAAATATTGATCAATAAAAACATAGGATGGGTCATAAAAATTCTTATATCATCAATTTAATCAATTTCATTACTCATACATGGCTTTTACATATGACACTAACATATCACCTTAAATTATTATGTATCATCGTAATCATGAAAAGAAGGATGATTGTATATACAAATTTTGAATAAAAATAAAATTAAAAAATTTGAATGATATGTCATCATAAAGTTACCACATATCACTGTAATCACTGAAGGGAAAGCGGTTATATATATAAATTTTAAGTCAAAAATAAAATTGAAAAAAATTTTAAACAAATAATAAACTTATTAATCAGATATGAAATTTATAATCTTTAAAAATTCTCATAAAAAATCTCTTGATTTTTTTTCTTCATCAAAATAAATAAAATTTTAACGATGTTTTTTTCTTGTTTACAATAAAAATTAAAAGATAAATAAATAAATAAATTATCCGCAAACCACTTGATCAGTGATCAACCAGCATCATTTCTGTACATAGTTTAATCTAAAAGCACATTTTTTACTATACAATACAGTTGACATATTTTTCCACGATAACCATACCTTAAATCCAAAAGCAGCTTAAGAGTTGTTTAAAGCACTTGATTGCCTGTCTCTTTCCCTTTATTTTCTTGCTCAACCCGGTATGCTCTTCTTAAGGGGAAAAAAAAAAGTGGAAGCCGATTTCAATTAATTGAATACCCCCAAGTCATTCTCTACCAATCCCTTTCAAAGTGGGGGAATTCAATAGCTTTCTTTAATTCTTTATTCGTCAGGGTCTGGGGGAGGTAGGAAGCAGCCTTAAAGGGCACTTATCACATTAAGAAAAGAATCTAAGCAAACTAACAACAACCTTAGTTAGATTCTTTTTTTTTTTCTTTATGAATCTTATTTTCCTTTATCCTCCCATTTGTCTTGCTTGCTCCCTTTATCCTCTTTTTTTTTTCTTTCAAGCATATCGCAATTGTAATTGATAAAGCAAAATTTCTTCCGCCGCAGAGATTCCTTGCTTGGGGGTTTCTTGGTACCTCAATTCCCTTTTTTTGTCAGTCTTTTAAAAATTTTAATTTATTCTTAAATATAGATTAAAATATTATGTAAATATTTTTTTAATTTATAATTTTAAATGTTAATTTTAATATTATATCAATTGATTAAAAATTAATTGGTATATCTTGTATATTAATTAAATACTCATACATGCTCGAAACTCTTTTAATCTTGGCTCACAAATCAAATCATGCATACAATATATCACATTACAAGTCAAGCACATGCAAGTTGACACTTATTAACTCGGACATCTATGATTTGTTAGTGCTTTCTTGCACCGTGCATCACTTGTGAGAATAACCCTGCTGAAGATCCACTTAATGCTTGAAGATATCATGTTTTGGATTTACATTTTTTTTACTAATTAAATTCCTTCATTGCGAAGCACTGATTCCAATTATTCCAATGCATTATCGTCTTCAGTTTGAATGATGATAAATTAATTTTAGCCCTGATTTCAAGCCATTTGGTGTATCTATGAATTCAAACCCTTCAATGTTTCAATGAACCCAAGCTATTTGCCCTTTGCATAATCTTTCATTCTTAATCTTGACATAATATTCCTTGGAACCCCACCAAAAAAAAAAATGCCTTGCTTGAATTTTTTTTAGTTCATAACACGGTTTTTTTTTTTTCTGTCTCTGACCCTGATGTACTTGTCTCGAATAACAAGTAAAGAATTCTTTAAAATTCTTTCGATGGCTAGTTGGAATTGATACTACTTGTTGTTGGACCGGCTCTTCTCCAAGGTAATGGTGACAGTTTCCTGTATCTTTTAAAGTTTTAAACTTTTCTCAAGAAGATGAATAGAAAGTTTTTAATTCTAATGCTTAATTTCGAAAGTTAATTTGTGGGTTTGGTTGCTGAGAGAATCAGAATAGTTGGGAAGAAAGAATTGTCAGAACTATCCATTGCATTGGCAAAGCAATCATCCATTCATAAAATATAACCTTAATAAGTGCGCTTAATCAAGGTACTCGTCAGCATTTATAAGGCTTGCTGCCATTACAAAGCGTGAAAACACTCACATTATTTTCTTCTGTTCTATAGCCTTCTGAATCGGCGGATTATATTGATTCTTTTTTTTTTTCTGCTGAATTTCCTGAAAAATGGACCAAAAAAAAAATAAAGAAGATGAAGAATGCACTAGCTTGTTCATGAACTTTTTGTTGGAATATTTGTAGTTATATAGTTTAGAAATGACACACAACCAGTGTAGAAATTGAAATAAAAAGGCTACCAACATGGAAGTAATGAATTAAGATGTGGTTTCAGCAATTCTAGAACTTGGCTGGAATTAAAGACTCACCATGGAAGGGCCATCTCAGGGATACCTATCCAGCGTAGACATTTAAGCATTGGAGCGGATGTGAATTTTGTAAATGCTGAAGAAGCAAAAATAACTTATAGCCATTGAGGGTTATGCAGTTTTTGATGTCCGTGATAAATTTCATTTTGATCGAGCTCATATCAAATCATGTTATCATGCGCCTCTTTTCATTGAAAATAAAGACAATGATCCTGGTAACACCATCTATCTTCATTTCTTCTTCTAAATTCAGTTCATTTTTTCATTTTTGTCTCTCCCCTCTGAAGATTATTAAGTACTACATACATAACTGCATACGAGGGAATTTTGGAAATAGCAATTAACTCATTCTTATTTTTCTTTGTTTTGTTTGTGCGGGCACAATAATAAAAGAGGACTTTGCACGATAAATTTTCAGGTTTATTCTTTGGGTTGCCATTTAAAAACTCAATCCTGAATTTGTACAATCTGTGAAAAGTCAGCTTTCACCTGAATGTAAATTGCTTCTTGTATGTTAGAAGGGGCTAAGGATAGTTTTTACTACCATCCTTATGGTGTCTCAGACTTACTTTACTCGGACTCGAAGGTGAGTGTCGGCTATGGTATGCGTCTAGCACAAGAGTATATCATTTACATTTTTTTTTTCTTATAATGCTACAATTGTCCAATCACAATAAAAAATTATATAGGAGTTCATCACTTAAAAATGTAAAGTTTACCTAAAATTATGATGGATTCCACATAATTTTAAATTATGATTGATTATATGTATTATAATTATTGTCGGTCAAGAGATCCCATCGGACATGGGTATATTCAATTTTTTCTAAGTTTTTTCATATATTTGCAGAATCTTACCCTAATCCATAGTCAATACTGATACTTCTGAGGAGTCAGAGGAATATAGTCCCTAACAGTTTCAAACCCAGAACGTTTTTTCATCAATTTTATTTTGTCTTAACATCTGGTTGCCAGAAGATTGTAAACATATCATACTCATAACACAGGACTAGTTGGTATGGCCTATAGAGGAACTTATTATTTATGTATATCTTTTTCAGATGAGAAATGTAGTGGTGAAGTCTTTAGATTTGCTATAATAGATATGTTAACTGTGCGATCTGATTTAGTAGTATACCTCCGATTTCTAAATTCAATCCATCTTATTCTTGTTTGTGATAAAGGCAGTTCGCATTCGCATTGAATATACCAGTTAAGTATTCAGATATCAACTGATGAATAATCTGAATTTATTTCCACACTCTTATTACTTCATTGTATCCAGTTAAATTTGCCTCAATGTGGAAACCATTTGACGGGATTCTGCTTCTTTTTTTATGTCAAGGTCTGCTGCTGCTGCCAATAAATTGGACCAAGCTGGTTTACAGAATATAGCATGTATAACGGCAGGGCTTCAAACTGCAAAACCAGGTTAGACATCAATTGCTTGACCTTGTAAAGCCCAGCTTGTCCTGTATGCAAAGGACAAGAGAATGAAGTAGTTCTTGTTTTGCAGGTACATGTGATTCTGTGGGTACTACTTAGTTGCCAGATGCTGGCAAAGCTGGTTTGGAGACGATGAAGCAGAAAAAATTCACCCAAATTTGTAAGATTTGAGCTGTAATCAACCTTACCTAAATGACCAACAAAAAAATGCTGAAAAAGAGGCAACTATGAATTTTTCTTAATGACAGACCATGTCTATTTTAACTATCGTCGAATCTCACTGTGATTGTTATACCAACGAAAACAAATAAACCTGCAAAACTGCTTTTATCTTGAGTAGTTTAATTTGCTACCATCAAAACCTAATAATTTTAAAAAAAAAAAAAAAAGGAAGAGAGGAAAATAACTCAACAAAATTAAAATAAAAAAAAAGATTCAGTATTTTAATTCACATGGCTAGATGAAGGGGATCAAAAAATTCACAAGATTGCAGACCTAGGTTAACAAATATTACAGTAAGATTATTTTTCTTTTCATCCAAAAAAAAATATTACATTGGGATTAGCAAATGTATATATAATTGCATTCTGTGCACAAAAGCCAATCCATAAAATTTTTGTGCCGTTCCAAATTAAACGGGTGATTCTCAGCTGCCTGTTGTACCCACAGAAATGACCTGAGGAACTGGCAAAGGGGTTGAAACTGAAAGAAAACTATAAACCGTCGTTCTGTAACTCATCTAATCATGAAGCATAACCTTGAAGTATCAGTCACCTTGTAGGCAGTACAGCTGACGAATATTTCCAGAAGCTGCCATGTTATTACAGGAAATGAGCTCATTTGCTAAAAATCTTTTAAGTTCGTACCATACAGTATAAAATTCAGAAACACCAGCTAAGATATGGTCACCGGTCATAAACTCAGAAAAACTCATAGACCATATCTAAAAAGTTGACAGTTCAATCCTACCTTTAGTTGATCTCCTAATTTAGGTATGTCCAACACTCAATTTCACATATAATTCAGAAGGGTGAGAGAAATTGGATAAGGGTAAGAAATCGTATAATCTATTTCTATTTTTGAATTTTCAAGTAAGAAACAACCATATAATCTTTACCACACAGCATCCTACCATCGAAAGAACTCTGGACTAGGAAAGTACAGAAGTGGAAACAACTATAACCATGAATATACCTAAAAGTAAAAAATAACGAAAACCACATAGAAATAAAACGAAGAAATAAAATGATGAAATTAACAAAGAGACCGAAATGATGGATTACCATATAACCAGTCTTTGAAGTATACATGAAGAGCACATGATAATTCTCTTTTTCGATTTTCTTCAAGAGGAGCTTCCCTCAATATTTGCTTTATCTCACCCAAATTCTTTTGCTGTTGATAACATCAGGAAGAAAACCAAAATTCAGTTAATTCAAAGTTAGAAAGATCAACAAAACCAATCACTAATTCTAAATACGCAACAATGCTTCTATCATGCAGATAAAAACCAATTCAAACTATAACGTCAAACTTTGCCATCCTCAGTTGAGATTAGTGCATTTACATTTCTCTGTTGAGATGTTAAGTACGCATCAGGTAAGGGGAATGGGTTATCCTTTGTCAACCCAGTGGATTCACCTTCAAACCAGTTTGGAATCTGTGTACGAAGAAATGCTTATGTCAAGTACAATAAAAAGGTAACAGAAAAGAAAGACGTAAAAATACCCCAAGCTAAGCTATGAAATACACAAAAGCATACCAGAAAATTTGTGAACTGATCAGGATCTAGGAGTGCAGCTGACTCAGCTTGAGCATCAGAAACACCTGCAGGATGTGATAATGAATCATGTGGATCAATAACTCCAAGTGCCAAAGGTTCATCCCATCTATTGATAGTTGTCCCAATGCCAACTTCAGTCATGTGCTCCTCCAACTTAGAATAGAATGTGTTATATGGTGCCACCTGATGAAATTTAAGAAAAGAATTTCCAAAACTGTCAGTCTTCCGGGTGTTGAATTTAATAATGGTGATAAAACCCATAAACCAACTCAAAACAATAGCAAAGATGGGTCTAAAAAGTGAAATGTCGTTAAAGATTAATCAATAATCTGTAAGGGCCTGTCTACCAGCTCTAAAAAGAAGGAATGACTTCTTGGGGTGCTCTCCACTGATGGTCTGGAAGAGTCCATATTCTATTTTGCAGCACAATTAGATATTAAATATGTTAAATCAAATCCTCGAGGAATTAAATATCCCTTGAAAACCTTAATACTTCATGCTGTCTATACAAACAGATATAGCAGCATTTGCATTAAAATGGCCAGAACCAAATCCCCGAAACCCCTCCATCATTGCAAGCTAACAGACAGAATTGACTAGACAGCAACAAAAGCCCACCAATGATGATACTACAAAGAAATCAAATACTAAGTGCAAAATATTGAGCTCAAACAAGTGTTGAAAGACCTTAGTTAAACAATATGCATGAAAAAAGATCAAGAAGTTTAGCTTTGGAGTATTTTTTCTTCTCTTGTCACTTGTGGTTTGATTGCTTTTCTTTGTGAAATGATTTTACCAAGAATGATCAAATTGTTATAATAACCTTAGTACTATTCTCAGCAAGATATAAGGCACTACAGGCATGCTTCCCTTGTGCCCTCTATCCAGCACAGACCCATTGACTATAGCGATCAACAAAAAGATTCTACAATAGAACTTGTGCCCAATGTTTTAACTTGATCAGTATTCATTAATTTGGCTCATAGGTGGTTCAAAATTAACTCCTGAACAGTAATTTAAACCCCATCTTGTTCAAAGATTAACAGGATATTCTGTTGATGATTCGTTTCAAGCAGTTAAAAAATTAAAATCTTGGCTGTAATGGGAAAAAAAAATCATCTTTATTTGAGGACAATCAGCCTTAAGAACACATAAAATAAAACATGACAAAGAATACGAAAGAAATTCTCCCTTCCAACCATAAGCCACAGCACCAACCAGCAATCACCTACAGACATCTTTCACACGTAAATGAACCAACCATTGGTGGACTGTTCATAAACAAGATTGGTTTAAATTTATTTATGTTCATTTATTAAGTTAAACAAACAAGCTCAAACAAGATTTTAAGGCTTGTTTAATATAAGAGCCAAACAAGAACAGAGGAGTTCAACTCATTTTTGTTCATGAATCATAAACTCGTTCTAAGTTCATGAACAAGTTTAATAAAAAACTTGATTATAGCATGATCAAATTTGTTTATGTTCAGGAATAAGCGTGATCACATTAAATTCTCATTGCACTCACAAATGGGGATGCTTGTGGTTTACTCACCTGGAGCTTGTGGTTATCGCCAACAATAAGGGGACGATGGTTCACTCCCAAAAAGAATACACACTCACGACAATTGACAATGCAGACTCGTTTTGCAGCTATAATCACATGAACTCGTTCACAGTGTTCAATTCTTACCGCCTGCAATGACAAAAAAAATCATATTATATTCATCCATGAAATGAGAGTATATCAATTGCTTGAACTGGAATTGTGTAAACATCAGGTCAATTGTTTTACAAGAAAGTACTATAAAATATGGAAAGAGAGGTGAAGGGAGCCTATAAAGTGTTCCTATAAGAGAAGAATTATCACAAACAAGTAAAGAATATAAGAGGGAATACCATAACTGGAACCAGCAGCAAGACTTAATAAATGACTTAAAACAAAGATGACATATGCATATATCATGTAGGCAAGAAAACATCTATTATTGATTTAACAATCTTAGCAATCGAAACTGAAAGTGCACATGTCCATGGCAATATTTCAGTTCATACAAATTCCTTTTAGCAATTTTGAGATAGACAAGAAATGGAGCAGAGATGAAGAGAGGCTATTCTTCTACAAGTTCTGACACATTTGTTGAATATGTATTCAAAATAAAAACAGACTAACCAACATTAGATGATAGATTTTGACATTCCAACCATGAAGAGTTCATAGATTGCTGAGAGATGCTAGGCAGATGAAATGACAGATACACGTCTAGCCATTTCCTAAAAGTCAAAACATAAGGAATCAAACAGTAAGATGCTGGGTTGCCTTTCATGTGAGTTTCAGTTCAAAATACCATAGAAATGTTTTCAGCAATTCCAAACACCAATACTGAATTAAAACGATGAAAACAATTTTGTATCTTAATTCCGCATTACAACGTTTCCACTGGTTCCAAAATTAGTGAAATACAAACAGCTGACAGCACAAAGGCAATGATACCTTGCCAACAGCTCCAAGAACTACAGTAGCATCAGAGCATCCATAAATGGTGGCATATCTCAAAGGCGCTAAAATGTAAATGACTGAATCATGGCAATTAATGACCTGAAATTATTAAATCACAAAAAGTTAGGGGTGTTTTATGTCACAAAGTACATAAATATCAAACAATAATCAAGAATTAGATAAAAGTTGTTGGCATAGCCCAATTAGCACCACATCTTTCCTCAAAATTGAAGGCCCCAAGTCAAATCCCCCTACTCCCAATTATCAAAAATATTTTAATTTTAATAAAAGCAAGCTAGGTGTTCATGAAATAATTGGGTAGAAGACAAACATTACAAAAAGGACAGCAATTCGAACTGTGTTACTTGCAGCTTTTAATTAATAATAAGATGATGATTATAATGACATTGAGGACAGTGACTATGAAGAGGGGATGGAAACAAAAGAGCCATATTTGGTTGCATTTAAATGGGAATCAAGAAAAACACTACACGGCGAATACCCATGAAAAATTCCAGATTTCACTAAATCACAATGCATTTAAGCTCACCTTAACAGAAGAATTTTTAAGATCAGATGCCTGCTTTATATAAGATGATTTAGAGACCCCCTCGATGAAACAAGGACTCCTCACACTTGGTGAGGCTTTAGCTGAACTTGGGCTAGCATCAGCCATTGCAACATCCTGATCAGAGCCGCTTGGAGGACCATTTTCTTTTGCAGAAATTTTTTCAGTAACATGCTCCAAAGAAGAAGCTATATTCTGTAGAAGCCAATCATGAACTTGTGACGCTGGAACGGGAACAGCAGGCATGTCTGGATCTGAATTAGCAAAAAAAGGAGCAGCTTCGCTTAAAGGAACTCCTTCAGATCCCTTATCACCAAATTGAATCAGAAATCCAAGGTGCTCAAATCCTTCCATGGTTAAAACCTGAATGAACAGCAGTTACATGAGAAAACCAAGCCATAGAAGCTAATAACACGCACAAACAAATGACAACAGAGTAAGATATGCAACAACTAGAAAGACCAATCAAGAAGAATACATAATAAGAGAGATATAACAGCCTGGCTGATAACAAAAAGGAAAAATAAAGAGTGCAGAACAAATCAAAATATAATAAAAAAGACAGGGTATAAGGGAAGTCATGTATGTTGGTTAAGGTAAAGAAAATAAGAACAAAAGATTCATAAAACTCAAATTTATACTCTGAACATTTTACAAAGAAAAATTCAGCTCAAAATCAGTGAATAATTGCTGAAAGCTGACAAGGACTTCTTTTGACCTCTTTTGGTCAAAATTGCTCGTATTTCTTATTTTAATCCTGTAAATGAGGCCCCTGACTCTTCCTTCCATCATAAAACCAGGTTTAGCACTAAAACAAACCAATTTTTGGTTGCAAAACCAATAATAAAGCAAAGAAACAACACATAAAGAGAAAAAGCGCATAATGAGGATCCCATTGTTTCATAACAAACGGTCTCACCAAGTTATCTAGTAAGACAAACCAGGCTATGCCTTCAAAGACTAGAATAAAAACCAAATGAAACATTTTATAAACAGCAAGATTAAATTCCAGCTCATTAGTATTTTACATCAATATTTGGCTCTAATGAGTCTACCACTAAAATAATTCTCCTATGGTTTCACCTGTTATCCTTCTAAACTACAGTTACCACACATTGGAATTACAAAATTGTATTTCAGAGATGAACTAAAAAGAAAAAGAATAAACCAAATGCAACAAAGAAATGCAATCCTTGACATATATTTCAAATATCTCAGTTTTACTTGAATTGAGAAAAACAAAACAAAACCCAAAAACAGAAAAAGAGAAAAGAGAACTCCACTAGACTACAGATAGCAAGAAGCAGTATTACAAACCAGAGACTCTTCACCTTCCCCCTCCACAGGCTCTGACAAAAGAGAGAGAATATTAGCCAAGTGCTTTTTTAGATAGGACAATTGATGGGCCTCTTCATCAGCCTGTGATGGCATAAAGCGACGCGTGTTGCAGCGTACAAGCTGCAATGAGAGGAACCACCAAGGTTAAATCTAAGTAACTAACTCACATAAAGTAAAAGACTACAGCTATTAACTTCCAACAACAAATTGAACCATCATTATAACAAATGTTCACAGACATAGTGAAATCCATATTAATGAGATACTTAGCTGGACAAAACAATAAGACAAACAACAATGATAGAAAATCCTAGTGTCTAAAACACAAAGTTAAATGAAACCATAAAATTTTACAATCTCTCCAGTAACATAGTGCCAGCTTCATTTATCATATTTGACAGCAATCTTAAAGCAAAAGGCACAGGGAAGAAATTAAAACACAACTATCAAAACCAAGCAATTTAGTTATTCCTTTTGCCACTTGCTTTTTGCTTTCTAATAGTCTATTTGGTTGTTACTTTACTCTTGCCATTTATTTTCCGCTATTTGTTTTTCACCTCCTAAAAAGTTATTAAAAAGAAAAAGTAAATAATAGAAAGCAAATTAATAATCGATTAGAAATGAATAGATAACTAAAATGCAACACCAATGCTGATATAATTGTTCTACATAAAAGTATAATCATGCATTTTATTTTCCAAAAACAATTGTATGTTCAATTTTAAGTTATTAAAAATGTTGTTTGTTTTTGTATATGCACTTGTTCATTTTTCCTTTTTGCTTCATATGCAAAAAGAGAGTTGCCCAAATAACAAGCAAATCGTATTTGAAAAATTGCCAAAAAGAAAAGGCAAAATTATATTTTATCAAAATAAGAATTCGTAAAATGTAAAATATATTCAAACATAATAGTTCCATATAAAAGTATAATCATGTATCTTTGGTATTGAATTTAATTCTTCGAAAATATTAGTAGCTTTTGTATCTTAAAAGACCTTTTGCTTCCAATTTCCAAAACCAAAAAGCTAGAGACAAGGGTAACACCAAACGCAGCTTCAATTATCAAAAAGATTAACTTAATCCTAAAAGACATCTTTCAATTTGCCAAACATAAACGGAATCACATTTGGTTCTTTTCCAAATGCCAATCAAGAGTTAACTCTATCGTTAATTTTATCACCTCCAGCACCAAAGACGTTCATTTTCCTAAAAGTAGCCATAAATCTAACGCAATTGTATAAAATGACATTGAAATTAAACCATAATTACCTACTTTTAAACAACCACAAATCAAATACAAAAAAAATCAACCACATTTCACCAAAAAGATGGCGAATTGGTCAAACTCCTTACTTGCAAAGGAGAAAGGGCCGACAAGTAACCGTCGAAAGCTGACGTGGAAGGCCAAACATCGGCAACCGCAGCGGAGTCCTTGTGCGGGCGCGGCAAAAGCCTCTTATATGATTGAATATACAAAAACATAATCAGATCACGCAAATCGGCACCAACGGAATCGACATCCTCGGGCCTGGCGCTGACAAGTGGGTCGGATTCGGAGTGGAGCACCAAGGCGAGGGTCTCGAGGACGAGACGTGCATGGTCCAACGAGATCTGGAGCGCGTCTGCGAGGGCCGCCGAGTCGACTCGGTGAGTTGAGGACGATACAAGTTTTTGCTTGAGAGGGGTTAGGGCTTGTACCGGGTCGGCGAATATGAGCTTCTGGATTGGTAGGAGGCCGTGCTCGAAAGGCTCGCGTCGAGGGAGGAGGAGAGTGCTCGGGCTTAGATTCAGATTCGGGTCGCTCGTTGACGTTGATGGTTCAATGGGGTCGGTCATCGCTTTGATTTAGAGAGAGAAACAGAAAGAAAGCTCCTTTTTTTCTTTTTCTTTTTTTTTTTTTGTTTGAAGAGAAAAAAAAAGGGATGGTTTTGTCTTGCAGATCTTCGAGCAAGGAATGATGATGTTGAAGGCGGAAGAGAGAGGAGAGAGTGAGGGGATGGCTGTGGTGAGGTCGGGGCTAGCGGAACTATTTACGTGGCTGGGTTTCATTGGGTATAACGTTAGTGGAGCAATCAAATAATGTAATAAAATCAAAGTCTACCCGGTTCCTCGTTCTTGCATGATTTTGTGGTTGAGATTTCCTTGATCCGATATTAAAAAAAATTATAGTAGAGCTTACGTCAGTTGCATGTAATTATTTTTAAAAATTTGTATTTAATAAATATAAAATTTTAATTTTAATATTTATATTTATATTTTTTTTTATAAAATTACAATCTGTGTTACAAGAAATTATATTATAATTATTAATAAAATTTTATTTAATATAACATAAATAAAAAATTTTAATTATATAACGAAGTTAACATATGATACATGTCTTATTTTTTTTATTAATTTTATATATGAAATTAAAATTTTATTTTGATAATATATTTGATCATTCCTATTAATAAATTTAATTTTTTTAAACATATAAATTTCTTTTTTTTTCTCTAATAAAAATAATCAATATGATTATTCCAACAACAATATTACGATTATCAAGCGCGGATTCGAATGGACACTTAGAATGCTTATAGACACTTAAAAAATGAAAAAAAAATTAAAAAAATCCTATATACCTCTAAACTTTTTCACTAGGCACCCAAAAAAAAATGAAAAATAATAAATTTTGAAAAAAAAAAAAGACATCTCAAAATTTTATCTTAAACACTTCGAAAACCAAAAACAAGAAAACAAAAAACAAATCTTAAACAATCAATAAAATTGATAAATATATCAATATTATATATATTATAAATAAACAACCGTAAAAATCTTATATTCATTGCTTATAGTTATTAATAAATTTGATCATTCTACTCTCTGTTAATTAATATTCTAACAAATATATATCAAGATCAATCTTTTTTTTATTGATAATATTTTGTTCAAACACTTAAAGATTAAAGATGGAGGTGTGACCGAAGTCATTAAAAATAATAATAATAATAAAAGAAATTATGTGACCCAAGTTGATCCTCAATCCAGAACAAAATAGCAATGTTGATTTGTTGAGCAAACATGCAAGTATGGCATCCAGGCCTTTTTTTTTTTTTTCTTTTATTTAAAGTTATCTTAGCAATCATTTCAAATTTTAAATAATTTCATATTCGATACTTTTATTTTTAGATTCGGGTAATTGAGAATACATAATTTTTATTTTAAAATTAAATCAATTTATCTCAAGTTAATCATTTTGATCCTTTCAATTTGACTTAAACAAGTTTAAATTGTTTTTTTTTTCTAAATAATTTGGGTTGAAGCAGATAAATTTTTCACATTTAGTCACATTTGCTAATTCTAATTTTAAGGATGCCTAAACATTGAAGCTTGGACCATTGTGATATCACTTCTTTCCACAACGTTTTTATCTTCACATTCAAATTTATTTACCACTACCTAAGTGTAAAGGGCCAAAAAATACCAATTAAGACTGAAAATGATATCGATAGATACCAATGAAATTTTGATTTAGTGACAAAATAATTTTAAATTTGAAGATTTTAAATTTAAATTTAATAATTATAAATGTTTAGTTGAATTTTATGTAATTTTGTCTAATTATATAGTAATCATTAGTATGTTTGTTTATTTTATTTAATTCAATAAAATTATTATACAAACAATAATAGTTAGTGGAAGGTAGAAAAGTGATAGATCATGAAAATCATAGAACATTGCGTGACAATTTCATTTGTCATAATTACAAAATTCAAGTAAAAAAAAACTCGATTACAAACTAAAAATTCAATAGGCTGATGAATTAACGTGGCTCAAAAAGAGCAAGAATTGAATTAATTACATTTCAATTAGTTTCTTAATGGCATGCAACTTTGACAAGCAACCTTTCCATGGACCAATTTTTGCATTGTTAATTGATTGAACTTAAAAAAAAAAAATGTATAATAATTTAGTTTGAAATTGAAGTTGTTGACAAAAAGCCCTTTGGTTCATTGTTTTTTTTTTAAGTTACATAAGTGGGCTTTCAGGCTGGCTAATGCTGGTAATGGACCTTTAGAAGTGTGAATGGGATGGGCTGGGGGCACAAAAAGACCAATCGAGCTAAATATGCTGAAAACAAAAACCAGACAAACAAGGTTATAAAAAGTAAGGGTGTTTTTTTTTTTTTTTCTTTTACAGAGATAAGAGCTTTAAAGCAAGTTCATGATGAAATCTATTTCCACACACACAATTTATTTGACAATGCTCTTCTTCAATCCAATTCCTAAGCATTTACTGTAAAAACCCCAAAAAAGGGATTGGTGTTTGAATGATAGAGAGAGAGAGAAATGACATGATGAGTAGATATATAATTAATTAAGTTTAAATCGATATAATATTATATTTGAGTTCAAATTTGACTTTAAATTTAAAATTTGAAATTCAATTCAAATTCGATTAAAATTTTTTTCAATTTGAGTTTAATTTGAGATAAAAATCGAACTCATTCAATTAGATTTGATTAATATATAAAAATAAGTTTGATTATTATATTTGATAAAAATTTAATTATTTATACTTGAGCTTAAAATATTTTATTAATTTAAATAATTAAAATATGTTAAAATATAAAAATTTGATTAGACTCATAAGTTGTTCGAATTAGATATAAGAATACTTAAATTTAACTCAATCGATAAATCGAGTTATTCAAATTCGAGCTCAATTTATATAATAATTTAGTTGAATTCAAATTTATTTAAATCAAAATCAAATTTTATTTAAATTAAATCCAAATAATTTATTAGTACTAATATATAATTTACATTATTAATAGTGAAGTTTTGATTCCTTTTTGAGCCTTCCATACTAACTCACTCCTACTAACTTTCTTTTTTTTTTTTACAATGTTTTCGTCAATTTTCTGCCTAACTGACCATATGGAACTTAGTTGACAGTTGCATCAATATATTAATCATGGGAGGTTGAAAAGGCATTACCATGACATTTTCACACAATTTCATGATCAAATAATGCGATATCATTGGTCGCATGAGCTTGGAACAGCCATGATTTGATGGATAGTAAAAATTTCCAAGCATTTCCTAACATGAAGGGAGCTTGTCAGTTGTATTTTGGGCTTCAATTGTCATTGCTCTTACTTCAAAAAAAGTTAGAATCTCCATATTTATACACCAAACTAAGCTCTAAATGCAAGTTTAAAGGATGAAGGGACTGTCAAATTAAGCCAAAAGCCAAATCTACTTGTAGTACATGCAACATGTTGCTTTGCATTTCCATATGCCCCAAAGCATCCCCCGCCCCTGGGGGTGTCCTGCCTGGTGCAGCGCCACCTATAGCCACGATTCTTACCCAGGATGGATTCTTCTCAAGCTCCTGCAAGCTGCTGCACTACAAACGCTAGGGAATATGGATTTCTGTAAGACACCTGCAAAGGCCATCTCCATTAGGATTAGCCATTAGGTCCTTTCCTTAGGAACCCTTTTTGCCCTTGTACGGCAATGGAGGCTTCTTTACCCTTACTAGCCTTATGATTTCCATCATAAACCAGCTCAAGAATCTAACACGTACGTACGTTCACCAAGCCTTGTCTTGTTACGTGTCAGCCAATTTTCGGGGGCTTTATCACTGGCTCACTGCCATGCATGTAGGTCACTAGCTTTCCAAGATTTTCGTTAATGTCGAAAAATTTAAGTCTTGTCCTAATTTTTTTTAAGATTTTAAAAATAAACTCTAACATATTCTTATGAAAACATCTTACGTACAACTATTGCTTTATATGAATTAATCATAGTTTAAAACATGTAAGATCCATCACAATTGCTTATATAACCCATAATTATAAATTAATTAATTATAAGATTATTGTAAAGAAAATGATAGGTGAAATGTTCCATTAATACAGTATATTCAAATTTAATTTTATTTTTTAAATGCTCCCACAATGAAAAGTAATATTTTCCACGTCATATGAAGGAAATAAAATGAACAAACAACTACCCATCAAAAAGAAAAAAAAATTTCCAAATTTATGACTCTGATTTTGCTCTCGTAAATCCCTTTTAATACAGCCAAATCACACCAACTTAGCCTAAATTGAAAAATAAAATTCTGAAGTGATAGAGTAGGTAGATCCTCAACTTAGTTAAGGAATACACAAATTTAGATTTCCTGAGTTGCTCTTTCAGGATTTATTTGTTTCATGGTAATTGCGTTATAAAAAATGTTGACATTTTAATAATTTTTTGTTACTTAAATGACTAAAAACAATGTTTTTGGTTATTTAGTTATTTTTTAAATATTATATATTTTTGAAAAGAATTATATTGACATAACTGATAAAATATAAAAAATTATTTATTATTAAATATTAATATTTTAATATTTTCAAGTAGTAATATATAATAATATTGAATATTAAAATATTATATTAATATTGAATGTTTGGAAATACTATTTATTATTAATACATTATTTATAATAATATTTAAAATATTTAAAAAATATTATTTTTCTTAATATAAATATTTGTTATTAAAATTTGAAAATGTTTATACTATTAAAATAGAAAAATTTATATTGAAAAAATTTATTATTAAAATAATAATATAAACATTTTTTTATAAAAATAAATATATATTTTAAATTTCAAAATCTTAAGAAATGATTAAAAATACTCACTTTATTAAAAATTATTATTAAAATTATAGTTATATTAAATATTCATTATTAAATTAATAAAAATATTATTTATTATATGAATTATTATTTTTAATTAAAACAATATTAAAATAATTTTTTTATTAAAATATTAATTTTTAATAATAGTTAAAATATATATTTTAAATTAAAATAGGAAACGATTTTTTATATTAATATTTTATATATTTTAAAATCAAATAAAATAATAAAATTTATGAATATAATAATACTTTAGATTGAATGAGCAATAATCCTGTTCACGGATTTTTTTTTTTGAAAAATATTTGTCTCTTTTGAAAATAGTAAGACAACTTTCCAAAAGATTTTTTTTTTTGTTGATTAGTAAATAATTTTTAATTAAACAAATAAATTTTGTCAAATAAATATTAAAAATATAAAAATAATTTTTATAAATAAATTTATCCGAAACACTCATTCTTTAGTTAATTAGTTTAGTTACAATTTAAACAAATGAATATTGCTTTAAATATGAAGTATTTCAGCTACAAATTCAAATTTTTAATTATAATTCTGCAATTAACTAATTACAATAAAAAATTATGTAAAAATTTACTATTTAAAAATGTGAACTACGTATTATTTTTTATGGATCCTAAGTAATATTAAATTATAATTAATTAATTAATTAAATTACAGTAATTATGTTTAAACCTGATTTCAATAAACCATGCATGTGGCCATAACCATTTACTCCCTTAAGCAAGTTGTTATTAAGTCAGTGTCAATTAATTAATTTCCACTTTCATGCTATGATAAGCTTCAATTTCAGTTTCTACATAATCTGGCAACAAACTCAAATGCATTTTCAAAACTAGTTCAAACAAACTTTCAAATTGATGACTAATTTCACACGAAACCCGCTTTTTAAGCTAAGTTCGCCATCAGTATAATATAGTTAGTACGTAATTTCAAAAAAAAAAACAATTCCGTCCCAATTCCGAACCGAGAAAAAAACATTCCCAAAGATTACAAAATAAGTGAAATCCCAATAATATCCCTAAGAAAACAAAGAATCCGATGACAATAAAAGAATATCAAAACGAGAAGAAATATAATCGTGATTTGTTCATTTATTTTTAAAATTATTTATGTTTGATAAAATATTTTTATATTGTATTTGAATTTAATTTATTTAAATATTGAAATATCAAATTGATATGAGATCTATTTATTCAAATTAAATGAACTCATTTCCTTTATAACTTATTTATTGATTATTTTAAATGATTAAAAATTATATTTATAATTATGTTTTTAAAGCCATTATAAAAGATTTTTTTATCTATTAGATAAGGGATAAAAAATAAAATTGATGAGGTTCAAACTTTTAATTTATATGTTTTCTTAAGGTTTTTTAATCATTAGGCTAAAAAATTGAAAGCTATGAAAGATTTTTAATATATATTAAATATATTTTTTAATGTATTAATATTACATTATAATTAAAATTTTATAAAAAATATTTAATATGAAATAATTATTTTAAAAAAATAAAAACAAAATATAAAAAAATATTTGATGAATTTTCTCATGAACACTAAATAAATATTTTCATGACTAAAAAGAAATTATTAAATAAATATTAAAATATTATTCATCAAGCTTAATAAATAAATATAAATAAATCTTCCTCTACATTACTGATCAGAGCAGATGAACTAAACAACGTCATAAGGGGTTGTTTCCGACAATTCACCTTAAACAAAGACACGTTTGAAATCCGGACGACGTTCTCCTCACAAGCGTGAAAGAGTCGGGTCCCCACTTTCACTGTATTCCAACAGAGAAAAAAACAGACAAAGCAAAGCAAAGCACCACCCAAAGAAAAAGAGAAAGGCAGACTTAGAGAGTATTCTCTGGCAGATTCATTAGATCCCAACCAACAAAATAAAATAAAAAAAAGCAAAAAACTGCACCGTTTCTCTTTCTCTATAGACAAGACTTCTCCTTTTTTTTTTTTTTTTCTTTCTTGTTCTTATCTTTGATTTTTTTGTTTTGGTTTTTCACTCTCTTGAAAGAACAGAAAAAAATTTTTTTTGTTTGATTGGGAAGTTCTTTTACTTGTCCATTTTGGTTCAATTATTGCTGATGAGACTTTCATTGATGTAATCGAGCTTTTTTTTATTTTTTTGTTTGAACGTTTTATTTTGGGTCCTTTGTAAACCGATCTTCGAAGGTATAATATTTATCTTTTTCTTTTTTGTTTTCAGTAGTTTTTGATTTACCATTTGAATCTAAAAGCCTTTCTAAAATGTTTTTAGGGTTTTGTTGGTTCATTTGATAGTGCAGTTTGGTGCTTTGTTTCAGTGTTCTGTTTTTTATTCCTATTGTTTATAAGTTGTTTTTTTGTTCGTGACTTGTGCTTTGGTTTCTGAGAAAAGCAAGGGGAATGATAAGTGTACGTTGTGATTTATTTTTTTAAATGTCGGTTTAGTTGTTTTGTTACTGAGAAATATTTTGGAATCAAAAGGAAAATCTGAAGTTTTGAACTCTTTGTCTCTTTGAAAATAAACAAAAAAAAAAAAGTTTTTGATAGTTTTACTATATCTAGCACCATCAGAAATAAAAAAAAAAAATCAGAGAAATTAGCGTACATTTTCACGCATTTTCGCAGGAACCAAACAGGGGATTACTTGTAGATACTCTGTTTTTTCACATCTCTTTGTAATTGGATCTAAAGCTTCATTTTCATACACTTTCATGCTTTTTCAGGAATCAAGGTTGGCAGATCTGAAAGTTTGAAGGAAGTCTCTGTTTACGTCCCTCACTTGAAAAACCTTGTAAGTTTCGGTAGCTGTCTTTGTCTACCAAGCTTTTCTTACATGACTGCATTTTGCGTTCTATGTTTCATCCGATGTCGTTTTGAGTTCATATAATAAAATGGATGTAGCCTCATTTGTAGTAGTTGGTGTTGTTATAAATGTTTGGATTTTTTATATAATTTTTTCCCTAATTTTCAGTTTCCCTAGCATTTAGGCAAACTCAGCTTTTTTTTGTTCTTTTGTTAAAGGAAATTTTGTTTCGATCTTTTAGGTTTCTGTAGGTAGTTAACTCTTGAACTTCAGTTCCAGGTTTTTGGTTTTTTCGGTCACTTTGTTTGAATCCAAAGATGATGCATCGTCCTCAACGTGAAGAATTCGCCCTTAAGGAGACCTATCCCCACCTTGGTGGTGGAAAGATCAGTGGGGACAAGCTTACGAGCACTTATGACTTGGTAGAGCAGATGCAATACTTATATGTTCGGGTTGTAAAGGCAAAGGATTTGCCAGGGAAAGATGTTACTGGTAGTTGTGATCCTTATGTTGAGGTTAAGCTTGGAAACTACGTGGGTTTTACTCGGTTTTTTGAGAAAAAGTCGAATCCTGAGTGGAATCAGGTGTTTGCTTTTTCGAAAGATAGGCTTCAGGCTTCATTGCTTGAGGTTACGGTTAAGGACAAGGATTTTGTGAAGGATGACTTTATTGGGAAGATTTTCTTTGATCTCAATGAGATTCCAAAAAGGGTTCCCCCGGATAGTCCACTGGCACCACAATGGTATAGGTTGGAGGATAGGCAGGGGAATAAGGTTAAGGGAGAGTTGATGTTGGCTGTTTGGATGGGAACTCAAGCTGATGAAGCGTTCCCTGAAGCTTGGCATTCTGATGCAGCTGTTGTTAGTGGGGCTGAAGGTCTTGCAAATATTCGATCAAAAGTATATCTCTCTCCAAAGCTTTGGTATTTGAGGGTTAATGTTATTGAGGCTCAGGACTTGCAACCTGGTGATAAGGGTCGGTACCCTGAAGTTTTTGTGAAGGCTACCTTGGGAAATCAGGCTTTAAGGACTAGGATTTCTCAGGCCAGGGGTATGAATCCAATGTGGAATGAGGATCTTATGTTTGTGGCAGCAGAACCTTTTGAGGAGCGATTAATTTTGAGTGTAGAAGACAGGGTTGCTCCTAACAAGGATGAAGTTCTGGGGAAGTGTGCAATTCCTTTACAATATGTAGACAAGAGGTTTGATCATAAACCTGTGAATAGTAGGTGGTTTAATCTTGAGAAGCATGCTATTATAGAAGGAGAGAAGAAGAAAGAGACTAAGTTTTCGAGCAGAATTCATATGAGGATCTGTTTGGAAGGTGGTTATCACGTTCTGGATGAGTCAACCCATTACAGTAGTGATCTTAGACCAACTGCAAAGCAGTTGTGGAAGGCTAGCATTGGGGTTCTGGAATTGGGTATTCTTAATGCGCATGGTTTAATGCCAATGAAGACAAAAGATGGACGGGGGACAACAGATGCTTATTGTGTTGCAAAGTATGGTCAAAAATGGGTTCGAACCAGGACAATCATTGATAGCTTTGCACCCAAGTGGAATGAGCAGTATACATGGGAGGTTTTCGATCCTTGTACTGTCATAACTATTGGGGTGTTTGATAACTGCCATTTGCATGGAGGAGATAAGGGTGGAGGGGCTAAGGATTCTAAGATTGGGAAGGTGAGAATTCGTCTTTCCACTCTTGAAACTGATCGGGTTTACACTCATTCATATCCACTTCTGGTGCTACATCCAAATGGGGTCAAGAAGATGGGTGAAATTCATTTGGCTGTGAGGTTCACTTGCTCTTCGTTGCTTAATATGATGCATATGTACTCTCGTCCTCTTTTGCCAAAAATGCATTATCTTCATCCGTTGACTGTTATCCAACTTGATAGCTTGAGGCATCAGGCCACACAGATTGTGTCAATGTGGCTAGGACGGGCTGAACCACCATTGAGAAAAGAGGTGGTCGAATATATGCTAGATGTGGGTTCTCACATGTGGAGCATGAGAAGAAGCAAAGCAAATTTTTTCAGAATTATGAATGTTTTGGGTGGGTTAATTGCTGTTGGAAAATGGTTTGATCAGATTTGTAATTGGAAAAACCCTATTACGACAGTATTGATTCACATCTTGTTTATCATACTGGTCCTCTATCCTGAACTTATTTTGCCGACAATTTTCCTCTACCTGTTCTTGATTGGGGTTTGGTATTATAGATGGAGGCCAAGGCATCCTCCTCACATGGACACTCGCCTTTCTCATGCAGATTCCGCACATCCTGATGAACTGGATGAAGAGTTTGACACATTCCCAACTTCCCGGCCATCTGATATTGTCAGGATGAGATATGACCGACTGAGAAGTATTGCTGGGAGAATTCAGACAGTGGTTGGCGATTTGGCTACACAGGGTGAGAGGCTGCAATCTCTATTAAGCTGGAGAGACCCAAGAGCCACGGCTCTGTTTGTAATTTTCTGTCTGGTTGCTGCCATTGTTTTATATGTCACACCATTCCAGGTTGTGGCGCTGCTAGCAGGATTTTATATCTTGAGACATCCAAGGTTTCGCCATAAGCTTCCATCAGTGCCTCTCAATTTCTTCAGGAGGTTGCCTGCTAGAACTGATTCCATGTTATGAACAAGACTAGTTTTGTGTGCAATTTCCTCAACGTAGTTTGGAACTGGATTTTTCCCCTTGTTGATTCTGACAAGAATATGCTGAAACAAATGGGGCTTGTTTCTTTTCTGTGTTAAGTAGCTGTTGTTGAGTTCTGGTATGATGTATAACCTTCCCCTGAAGGTAGTAGATTTTGTGGGTTTGTGTTCATTTATGGTATCTATAGGATTTCTGTCTTAAAACTGAGGTGTTTTCTATGATCAATCAGTTTTCATTGTAATTTTTTAGGTTGTGATTGGAATTTAACCAATTGCTGGACCTTCCCTATCCTTATTTTGCATCTAGCAGATAGTGTACTAAAACGTTATGGGACTTATAACCCCAAGCTTTAGTTCATCCTTCATGACAAGTTATTTGTTTTGTTCAATGGTGATGTTAGAGCATTAGCATATTGACATGAAGCGTGTGAATTTTAAATTAAATCTTGATTAATCGATGTGAATGTCGTCTAGGATTTGGAATTGAAAAAGCATTCTTTTTATTAGATTAATCGGGTTGCTGATCAAAGCTGTTAATTTATAGTAACAGATAAACCAACATAATTTTTTTTATTACATTGTAGGGATCTCCTATTGGTTGGTTTCATTCCTCGAAAAGTAGATCAGCTTCATTGTTTATTGCTTTGTTCTCGTGGAATATCGTGATAGCGATTTGTTTATGTATGGTATATCTAATTATCTACCATTAACTGATACGAATGTAGATGTGGATTTGTTTGGGAAGTGAAAAGGACATATTTTCTGAGGTGCTGTCTTGTCCTTTTACCTATTTTATTCCAAGTTGGTTTCACTCGATAGAAGATTCAAGAAATGGGGACAGGCTGGTTGCCCCTGGCTGGCTCTGGGCATTTGTGTTGTGTGTCTCTCATATCATTTTTTAAACAATAAATGCTGGTAAAACTTGGTTTCTTTCTTGGTAAAACAATTTCCTATCAATGATCATGGTATGAGTGTGAATTCTGAGAACCTGGTTTTATCCGTTAGTTATAAAAAATGTGGTGTTCAAAGTTTCTGAATGATTCCAAAAAAAAAAAAAAAAAAAGAAAAGTGGGCTCTCCCATGGAACCTTGGCAGACCAAAGCAGAATAGGATTGGTTAAAGTGCCTTCTACGACGGAGCCTATCTGATTTTCAACGGCAAAATTTGACGGTTAGGACTACTAAAATGTGACCTTTGGGTAGAAATATGGCTCATCTGCTTCCTGGTATTCTCTGAAAATGGCCTGCCCAATTCTTAGTTGTAGGGGCAGTGGGGACCTACATCTCTTCCTTTATGTTTTTTCTCACCCCTTTCCTCCTTTACAGCCTGTAAAATTGCTTTCTTCTTCTTCGTCTTCTTCAAGTCTTTTGTTTTTGTTGCCAATGCAACCTGTGGATGGGACTGGGAGCCCTTAGAATACTGCTTTTACTCTTGTTTTTCATGTGGTCCAATCCTTCTTTCTCATCACACTCGGCCACATTGTGAATTCTAAAGCCACATTGCTGTCGGGGCTACAGTTAATTTGTGAGACATGAAAAGAAAGTTATTAATGTAAACTTCAGACATTTGTAACCACACCACACATGATGCTCACAAAAGAAGCAATAGGAAGAACGAAACGTGCTGCCATTGCATTAATTTTTTAAATATAGATACCTTTTTTTAAAATGTGCATGAATGTAGAATAGAAGAATTCATGTGAAAGTCTAATAGATTCATAAATTTTAATTGAATTGATGATTTATCTTAATCTTAAGCTTCATCTTCCTTACTCTTAAATTTTTCTGGATAAAAAAAAATGTTTTGGGACCATTTTGTTTTAATGACGTTTCATAGTCAAAAAAGGAAAGCAGTCTGCAATAAATTTTCCTAAATCTGCTACTTCCCTTACGTATCATCCTGAAACACAGCTTTATTATTATTAGCATATCAAACATTAATTGATAAAGGACCCCATTTTTCCCTCCCCCACTCTCCCTTTATATAATCAAACATTTATTTGGACAGACACAACTCATAATAAAAAATTAAATTCCATCTCCATCTCTATCAAACATTTATTTTTAGATTCACATCAACAACATAACATAATATTAAAAATGAGTCATTCACTATCCTTTCAGAATTTGAGAATTAGGGCTCCAAATTACTTGCCAAATGTCATTTAATTTGGGAAATTAGGGTATTTTTGATTCAATGGGATAGATGGTTCTTGGCCTGATGATTGGCCTCATGGAAAAGTCTACTATGGACTGTAGACATGGGTTTTTTTTAGCTTAGCCTTAACCCTGTATTAGGTTGTTTAAGAGTTGGGCTAGGCCTTGCTTTGTGATTTTTAGGTTCAAACTCTGGTTTCTTACACAAAAAATCTTTTAAGAATCAAACAAGATCAGCAACCAAAAATTTACTTGAAATTGAACAAATGGCCAAGCCAAAAATTATGAAATGTATCAGGACACAATTATTAAATTTCTTATTCAACAAAAAATAGCAAAACCATTTAACTCCATCACCCAATCAACCCATCCAGATTTACTATATTTAGAAACTTGACAGTTTGCTCAAGGGCCCAGCCTGGAACTTTGTTGATAAGTGGTGATTTATCATTTAAGGCCCATTTCTGTTGAAAGAAAAGCAGAACAAAAGGAAAAAGCCATTGCCAAAAATAGCAAAATGGTTATCTCCACCGCCCACTAACCAAAGAGAAATCAATGCCACTTCAATTTTAGAGTATGGTGCTTGAGATTTCCAAGCCTAAACCTTTTGCCACTTTTAGCTATAAAATAACACATGGATTCCGTACAAGACAATGAATCGGTTGGGCTGTCTATGTTATTGATTTGATTTGATTACCACCTCCTTCAAGCAAAGGTAATGTTTGAGGATTTTTGTCACTTTGAATACCAAAAAAATCGTTTAGCATTACAAAATTTGCCTTTGACGGTGAATATATATACGCGCATATATATATATTAATACGTTATAAGTATTGAGATATAACAATATTTACATAAATCAATTGAATTAAATTTTAAATTCAACATTTATATTTAAAAATGTGAGTTTAGATATTCTTTAGTTTTTTCTTGAGAAAATGACTTCCAATGACAATATATAGTTCTTAAGATATGTCTACGCTTGTGTAAAATTGAATATCACCTCAAATTGAAAAATGAAAAGTATTTTGCGTTTTTAGATTAATCAACAAAGCAAAATCCAATCTTCCTTTTGTAATTTCTGTCATGTGACCTCCTTTGTGAAACGAGGATGTCAAGACATGAAAAAGCAAAAACTAGTTATACAGATATATATATATTGATAAATGGGAAGATTTCTTGTTTGACAAATTGAAAATTAATGATATGGGTTTTGGTATACCATGTAATAAATTTATTTTGAAAGTTGGAGCATCCAATTCAATCAACAAATCTTCAAAGCTTGGGAAAGGGTACTGTTTTGTCCTTATTTGATACCTGCAGTTAGACAATTCTGACTTTCCAACATCAACGAAGTAGATTTAGTTGAAAACATAGATTTAATAGAATTAAAAAAAATAGATTTAATAGAATTAAAAAGCATAAGGTAAATTAATTGCTCTATGGAAGTAGGTATACATACATATACAAGTGCATGAAGTGCCTTAAATTATTAGGAGAATTTTCCTCATTTAAGGCAAGCAAGATTAGGCTAACCATGCCTCTTTTTTTTTTTTTTATCTTGATTTTGTTAAACAACCCTAAGTTATTATTATTATTAAGTAGAGTCAACAATACAATATATGTGTACTAACAATCAAACAACACAGACAAGTGAGATTATAAGTTTAAAATTATAAGAAGACTAAGAAAGTGGATGCCCTCTCTTAAATTGAACTTGGAACTCCTCTCTTCAAATTTTGATTGGGGACATAACTAGGTTAAGAGGAGGTTTGGATTGCATCGCATCTTTAATGCGATGCAATTAAATTTATTGTATTATTAGTTGAATTTAAATACTAATTTTAATAAAATATATTTAGTATGAATTTTTTTTTATAATTTTATTTTCAATCGCAATTACATTAATTTTTATTATTATTTTCAATCTCACATGAGTTAATATCAACATCCATCTAAATAAACCTTTAATATATATGAGTTTGATTGATTTATGTCAATTAATTTTCAAAACAGCTTTAATAAAATCAATAATTCATGATTAGATCCAAACGATGGATATACGAAAAACATAGATAAAAAAAGTAACAAAAGAGAGACAAATTCGAAACATATTATGTATTCTAGATTGAGATAATCTATGTTGCAAAGCATCACATAATTTGTCTAACAATTTGACTTGCGTGAAAGAGTACTCAAGCAACTTGTAAAACAACATCTCCTATACAATTTGTGTATTATCGATTAGTTTTATATAATATATATGTAGTTTGTTCTAATAAGATGCCCTAATTGGTTGACCAAAATATTAATATAAAAAGTCAACCAAAGAATAATGAAAGATTTGGGGTCGCATCAATAGGATAAGTGAGCAAACTAAAGAGTATATATAGATTGGTGCAAGGTAGATACATTGGATTTAAACAATATTTCGATATTTATTGTGGGAATTTAGAAAATTAAATGAGCAGTTAGGAAAGTAAACCACATTGAAAATATTTGAGTTCTATGATAAAATCTGAATATGAAGAACTTGGAATCTAAATCACGGAATATCGTTTTAATAAAAAAATTTAATTATTAATCTGACTCTGATTTTTTAAATAAATAAAATAAAATAAATTATTCTTTTAATCATAAAATTGTAAAGTACTTTACTCGGGTCCAAATAAATTTTCTTCTTTCAATCGCCAAGTGTGACTTGTCATGCTTCGGTTGCCTTCCTAGCAATTTCAGTTTCATTTGATTTTTCAATAGATCTGTTCATAAAACAAATTATTTATTCAATTTATAAATCTAACATGATTTAAATAATTATTTTTAAATCTGAATTCGATTCAATTTAATATATTAAATTATTAATAAAAATATTTTAAATTTAATTTTATTATATTTTAAAAAAATTCAAATCTCTTAAACCGACTAAACTAAATTAATTGAGCCTCGAATAAAATCTTTAAAAAACCAATCCGACCGGACCCACAAACAGGTTGAATGAGCGCAGACTTTCCACATTTGCAAAGCCCTGAAAGTGATCAATATTATTTACTTTAATAATAAAGGATCAGTCCCCCCAGATTGGTTAACCTAATTTTGAACCAACATAGAAAATTAGCAAGGGCTAACAAGAAAACTCAGCCACACGGCAAACAACCTTGAGTTAAAGGGCGGCATCAAGTATTAGTGATATAATTGTTAAATTAATGTGAAAGTAAAACTTTCATTTCAATTTTTTAATCAACTTCAAATCCACGTATACAAAGAGTTGTCCAAAAATACCGTG